AGGGTGTTGATTGAAAAAATTAATCGCAATTAATCTCAGTTTAATGACTGTTAAACAATAGAATATTAATTGAAATTATTAGTTTTGGATGTTTTTCTACATTTTCATATATATTGTATTCTGTGTTACTGAAATCAAAATGTATATTATTTTTATTATAAATATTTGCACTGTAAAAATGATAAACAAAATAGTATTTTTCAATTCACCTCAAACAAGTACTGTAATGCAATCTCTTTGTCGTGAAAGTGCAAATTACAAATGTAGATTTTTTTTTGTTACATACCTGTACTCAAAAACAAAACAATGTAAAACTTCAGAGCCTACAAGTCCACTCAGTCCTACTGCTTGTTCAGCCAATCGCTAAGACAAAAGTTTGTTTACATTTACAGGAGATAATGCTGCCCTCTTCTTATTTACAATATCACCAGAAAGTGAGAACAGGCATTTGCATGGCACTTTTGTAGCCGGCACTGCAAGGTATTTACGTGTCAGATATGCTGAACATTCGTATGCCCCTTCATGCTTCAGTAATTCTAATTTTGTAAGTTCAAGTTTCATGATAAAGAGATTGCACTATAATACTTGTATTAGGTGAATTGAAAAATACTATTTCTTTTGTTTTTTTACAGTGTAAATACTTGTAATCAAAAATAAATATAAAGCACTGTACACTTTGGAGTCTCTATTTTAATTGAAATGAATATATTTGAAAATGTAGAAAACATCAAAAATATGTAAATAAATGGTATTCTATTATTGTTTAACAGTGCTAATTTTTTTAATTGCTTCACAGCCCCCCCCCCCCCATATATAATCTGCTATGGAACAGCAGCCAGTATTTAATATATCTAGCTAAGTTTATTCCTGGGGGAATTCTGTGCCACTGAGCAATGCAGAGTTTGCACAGAATTAATGTTCTGTGCAGAATTTTCTCCCCCGCCACAGAAATGGGCTGTAGAGCTGCTGGCCGCCACTAGGGAGCCACTGGATCCATCAGAGCCCAGCTCCCCAACAGAAGAAACAGCTGGTGGGAGGGAGCTGGAGAGTTCCTGAAAGCTGCAGTTCCCCGCCCTGAAGGAAGGAGGCAGCATGCAGGAAACTCTATACAAGCCTGGAACCCAGCATTAGGCTGTTTCTCCCTTAGGATCCCTGGGCTTTGAGAGGGTAGTGAATGCGTGATGGGCTGGGGGGCAGCCCTGCAGTGGAGCTCTGGAGGGTAAGAGGTGCAGGTGTCTGGCCCCCTGCTTGGGCTCTGGGAGGGAGGGGGCAGAGAAACATGAACTGGTTTGTCATGGGGGTTTCTTTAACTCTCTATTTCTGGGGGAACTTTTGTGTGTCTGTATTGTTACAAACATAGTTGCTGACAGGTATTTTGAAATAAATTACCTAAATAATTGAAACTGACATGATTCTATGGTGTTATTTTGACAAATGAAATATGCAGAATTTTAAAATATTGTGTGCAGAATTTTTAATTGTTTGGTTCAGAATTCCCCCAGGACTATAAATTGCTCCACATATGAACCCTTGGAGCATTTTTTGCGTCTCCTCACAATTGTCAAATCAATCATATTAAGGTTAGCATGTTTAACGGGATCAATGTCAAAACTACATATTGCTTTTTGGAGAATAATTTACTGCAGAAATTGAAAAACTAAAAGCTACTGATGAGCAACATCTGTATCCCTCCCCAGCCCCTTGGGTGATTTTGGGGTTTCCAGGAATGTATTGCCATATGTACTAGGACTTGCTCTCTAGTACCAAACTTCTGGAAAAGGTTGGAACTTGTATAATAAATAACTGACAGGCTTAATTAACGTTAGTGCCACTGCCATTAATCTGCTTAAACCTCTGGCACACATGGAACAGATTTATTGAATAAGAGGACAGTTTGTTACACAGTCATTTCTATTGCTCCAGCTGCATTTTAATAAACTAACTATGGAGTATTTATCAGTCATCATATATGGTTACAAAGAACTTGACCTCTTGAATCTGGAAGAGTTGCTACACAACCTCCCAATATGTAAGGCTGAACACACTATGGATGAGTACAACTATGGAAGAATCTACTTTGGCCAAAAACACATAAGGACTAATTACATGGACATTATTTTATATTGGAGGCTCTCTTTGATGAAGCTCAACAATTTCTACTACAATAAAATATTCTGTTTAATTCAGGATATTAAAAGAAAAACACATGGTAGAGAACACCTTCTTCCATATCCCAGTCAACAATACTTCTCCAAGGAGTATCACCCTACATTTCCCAATCCCTTATCCCTGGGATGTGTTTCTATATCAGTATATGGTTTAGTTCTGTTAAGAAATAGTATAAGCTATATTACAGCTTATTCACAACAACCTTCCTGTGCAACTAAAAAAACCCATTAAAACAAATGAGGCTCTATGCTACCTTTGTGGTTTCCCAGTTCTGGAATCAGTGAAGGCCACAAAACATCTTAGAGCAGCTTCAGGGATGTTCTAAGTTGTGCCTGGCTGCCCATGGTCCCAAGAGGGCTGCTTTAGGAGCTGGGGATTGCAATGATACTGCAGACATGCCCTCTTATCCCTGGCTACAAAAATCATGTGTTGGAAGAATCTCCAGATAGCTTGTTAAATGACCATTTAAGCCTTTTGGCATTGGAGCAGCAAAAAGGAGCCATATTGGCACAGAACCTGAAGCACACACTCAAAATTCCTATGAACTGTTTTGTATAAAACTCAAACTCTTAAGAAAAAAATAGTAGCCCCGATAAGAAGATATAGCTTCCTAATTAACCTAATTGAAAGCTGAAGATTCCAGAGGCAGCTCTTGACTCCCACCCAAATCAAATTATGGATGTGGTATTGTAGTTTTTGATTATCAGAATTTTGGGGGCAGATACATCCAAGCCAACAGCACCTTAATTATTTTTCCAAAAGGAAACCATCAAAAGTTTCTAGACAAAAGTCAAAATGTCCACTTACTCTTGTATTGAGCCTTGGACAAAACAATATATACAGAAAAACTGACTAAGATTCAGCAAAAAACAAAACTACTATTTTAAAACGAGACAATTTTATAAGCTGTAAAAACCTTAAAAAAAAAAAATCTTTGCCAGAAACATCACCACAGCAACACAGGAAGTTTATCTAGCTGACTAGGCTGATTCTTATCACAGAGAAGCTTTTTCTATAGCTTTCTAATAAGACATGCACATTATCTTCCTCTTTCCTTTTAAAGTGTTTTAGAAAACAGTCAGCAGAAGAGGTCCGTAAGTAATAAACATGTGAGTATTTCCCTTTTAATTAAAAATATGCTAAATCAAATTTCAGATGAAATATAGATTATAAAGGTACTACTGACCATTCAGGAACTTAAAACATTTAGTTACAAGCCTCAAAATTTAAGTAAATTATGTCTGATTTGGTATCTGTGATAGTATTTGTCTTGGCAGATGAAAAGACTGCAATACTTATATGACTTAATATTCACTTCTCTATTTTGCTTAAAAACTAAACTATATAAATCATAGTATCAAGGTTCCTCCCTCCCCATTAACAGAGCTTAAATTAGCAAAGTGGAAGATAGTACTGAAAAGTACAATTGCAATAAACATGCTCTCTATTAGATCAAACCTACTTCTTTTACAATAGTTTGTGGCCTAAGTAATGCAGTATGACAATATTGTAGACATATAATAAGATAACAATCTGTATAAGATTATTTACATAGTGTGAAGTCATTTTCAGTATATTACTTACTATTGTCATAAGAACAGCCAATATGGTATACAAAAATATTTTAGATCTTCCATTCAATTATTCTGAATCTTTCAAGTGTACATCTTTATGCTTGTTATTAGCTCTTAGCAATATTCAAATTTTTTCTTCTGTATTATATTGTTGCCATCTGCACTGTTAAAATTGTATCCCATACTCAATTACACTCTACATTTTAAAGAGTTAATACATAGATGAAAGTTTACTGTAAGATGGAATTTGGGATACTTCCCCCTCCCCCCACCATTACCCCCCAAAATCTGTTGTTCTGTTAGAGTGATAAGAGTACAAACAAGTGTAAAACTGTGAGTTTATCAAAACCAAAGATCTGGCTTAAAAAAACAAACTCTAAACTCAATGAAGCTGTCATTTACTTTGTAACCCAGTATTTTAATTTCCATATTTTGACAGATGCTCTTATGCAAAAAAACAAAAAAAACAAAAAACAAAAAGAACCCATTAGCACTCAAATAAATTAATGTCAAAAGAGAGACTTAACAGACTAAATAGTGTCATCAGCAAAATATGTAGAATATTGAAATACATAGACAAATCAAGTACAAAAGTGAAGAAATCAGTCAATTACTTATCTGATCAAATGTACATCATTCTATTATTTTCATTGCTGTTTTGCCCCTTCAGGATAACACTTATTTTAGACATTTCTATTAAAAATATCTTTTTTTAACTCTAATGTGAAGCCAAGGCTGAACCTCTGTCTTCTGGTATTATTGCAGTTTCCTGCCCTCCCCCCCCACCCCAACTCAAAGTTAGAGATGGTGTGAAAATAACTCAGCACTCCATGGAACAAATATAAATATACACAACAAAATAAAAAATTGTAAGTATAATTTGTCTTGCCTCTCCCTCACAGAAAATGTTTTTCAAACAACATACAAAAAGAGTTATATTTTAAAAAGTAATTACAACATAACTATAAATGAATTTTTGCACGAGTTTTCTTTCAGCATCTGCTTTTGCACACTCAGTGGAAGTGTGAAAAGAAGAGGCTATAACATACAAGTGCCTCAATAATTTTGAAATCTGGTTGAAAGTTCTTCTGCACAACTGATGGTACTTAATAAATTATAGATAGTTGTATTTGCTACTATTGTTGCTGCCTTTAAACATCTACAAATAATTTGATTTAAGACTGTACCTATGACAAAGTAACTTGACATACAAAATTAATACCACAGTGAACAACTCTTATGTATTTCCCTTTGACGATGGAGACAACTTCACCTGAGTTCCTGAACTCTTCTTCATACAAGGAAGTCTTCTGGAGTTACCAAACTGAGCTAACCAGAAACTTCTCTTCGGAAGCCCCAAATGATACTGTCTGTCTCATAAATGAAGGCTCCTTGTCTCTTGTTTTCATCATTTTTTACTCCATTATTTTTGTCATTGGATTGGTTGGCAATATTATAGCCTTGTTTGCTTTTTTCTACATTAATCACAAAAGAAATTCTATCCAGATTTACCTGCTTAACGTAGCCATTGCAGACCTTCTACTGATCTTCTGCCTCCCCTTCCGTATACTATATCATATTAACAAAAACACATGGATGTTGGGATTGATTTTCTGCAAGATTGTAGGAACCCTATTTTATATGAACATGTACATTAGCATCATACTGCTGGGATTAATTAGCGTGGATCGTTATGTAAAAATTAACAAGTCTATACGACGTCCAAAAATGTTAACAGCTACACGAAGCAGATATATCTGTTGCATATTGTGGACAATTGCAATAATAGGATTCATAATGACAGTTGCTCAGTCTGCTAAGAGGGAAGAATACAATTCGACTCTGTGCTTCCATTACAGAGATAAACAGAATGCAAAAATGGAGGCAATTTTAAACTATATTCTTGCTGTAATCTTTTGGATAGTTTTCTTTCTACTAATACTTTCATATATTAAAATTGCGGCGAACCTTCTGAAAATTTCCAAGAAAAGAGCAGATTTTCCCAATGCTGGAAAGTACAGCACCACGGCAAGAAATTCCTTCATTGTACTTATTATTTTCACCCTGTGTTTTGTACCATTTCACACATTCCGATTTGTCTACATTACATCACAATTACAACACACATCTTGTAACTGGAAGGAGATAATTCACAAATGCAATGAGATAATGCTTTTATTTTCAGCTTTCAACAGCTGTTTAGATCCAGTTATGTATTTCCTAATGTCCAGCAGTGTTCGTAAGACTGTATTCCGACTTATTTGTAGAACACTTCATGGGGACTCAAGTGTGAGTGATAGTATTTCAGAAATGAAACCTGGGCAATCTCGTCATGATACTGCAACTACCATTACCCCCCATTCAAGCTTTTTAAAGAAAAATTCCCTCATCTGATTGCTTAAATATAATGGACAATTGCGTCCCGAAAAGACAAGCAGATAATCTACTAGATAAGCTAGATAATTGACACTGGATGTACATGTGTATAGGAATGTACAACAATACACAGCTGGTAATACTGCCTCAAGAAAAGCCTTTCCCCCCTCCTTTCCTTCCTTTTTTACAAGTATGGGAGGTCATACTTCAACTGCTTAAATTAAAAATGATTTTTGGTGAGAAAGAGCTTAACATTTTTATTATTACAAATCAATATGAAGTTTGAAACCTTCATGTAAAGATTCATTTAAGACAGGATTCATCTAGAGCACTTTCTTTCAGGGGCAAATTTTCAAAATGTGACCTTGATGTGTGCGCAAGAAGCTTTACACACATAAATACTTGGTACACATTTATTAGCACTACTAGCTATGCACATATGATGGGATGAATTTTTCACAAGTAAATCTTTATCTGTATCTAATTCAAACCAACTACGAAACTGATGTATTACAGATTTTATAAATCCGTCTTTGAAAAAAATATATTTTAGAAGGCTTCAAAAATAAATCAGCGTCTTAACTGCATTTATTAAACTAACTCTTTCAGCAAAATGTATCATAATCTATTATGAATGTGGCTTACACAGAAGGTAAAAAACAAGACAATTATTAGTTCATTTATTGGAAAAAATGTGCTTTATATTTTGTTTATTAAGCAAAATTAGAATATTCAATTACTGATTTTGAAATCCTCTAACAAGCCTTCCAGAACCTTCATTATGTTAAACACCAATCTTAACTCAGGGGGGAAAAAAGTGAAAATACAGGAAAGTAGGCAATTCACATTTTGAGGTGGCAGCGGCAGGGGATGAGGGGGATTATCCAAGATTTGTTTCAAAATTCTATTGACAAATCTAATAATTTCAAAACGTACATATATGCCAAAATCTCAACAAGGATAAGAAATTCATAACGAAAGACAGTTACAAAAACTGTAAACACAAAATTAAGCTATTGTGCATGTAGGAGGATTTGAAATGAGCAGTGTTTTGTCAGTTCTGGTCTCTGTTCAATCCCAATCACCTACGTTTTGAGGTTAATATCTATCTACTTGTATATTTCCAAAAACATTTATTTCAAATATAATACACCTATGGCAGAGACCATGTCTTTTTCCATGACTAAAGTATCACACTCACCAATGATGTTATGCAAATAATAATAAAATATTAAATGTGGATTGTATAGCCCAATTCAAGATTAAAACCAAGCAGATTTATGCAGTTAGTGTGTGTAGGCTGAGTAAAATTTTTAACAAAGTTAAACTAGCCTTGATGACTAGGGAGTGAGTGAGTGAGGGAGCTGGACTAAGAATGGAACTTGAATCTCTAATGTGATAGGCCACAATGCTGGCCAGGCCTGAATTTTGTTTTAAACTCTAAAATAAAGGGTCTAATCCTTTAAAATTTGAGTAACTTTATTCAAGTGAGTAGTTGTATTGAAGTTGATGAAAACACTCATGTGACTGCTCACTACATCTTTGCAAGACTGGGTCCTAAGGCATCATGTTGCATGTCTAAACTTGCATGTTTTCAATACTGGGGAAAATCCTGCTTCTGGTCAATGGCAAAACTCCTATTGACCTCAATGGAACCAAGATTTCACACACCGTTTCTTTCACATTTTGGACATCATTTTAGTGTAGTTTTTCTGTGAATCTATGTTCAGGTTTGGATATAATTGTGTTCACTAAACCACAATTACTGGTAACCGTATATTACTATATTTCAAAACTGTGGGTATCTTTTGTATCTTCTTTAGAAATAATTCTTATAATTTTAAGTTTTACTTACAGTCTCAGCATTTGCATTTTTCTTGAATATTTTAATACATACAAATAATATTTAAGATTGATTTTTAGCGTAGTTCCTGAGTGATTCTTATAGCAATTTCTAATCTGCTTTTCAGAAATAATGTCAAAGCTGGCAGACAATCATATCTCACAGTTATGTCTTTGTCCATAAACCAGCAAGTCATATGGTCTCTTTGCTCTGTTTCCACACTCTAGCCTATGAGCCCACAAGAAACTGCATCCTTCTCTCTCGAGCACTCACAAATCAAACTGCTTATACATTTCTATTTCTTTTCAACCAGAACTAGCCAACAAACTACAAATGAAATGAAAGGCAAAAATAAAATGTTCAGTTAAGTACAGGTTGAAAGTAGGTTGAATATCCCTACTCACTAGGCATGGAGGGAACTGAACAAAGAAAGAAGAAAAGACATTCAATTTAATTTTTTTTTTTAGAATACATTAATTTAAACCTAGAAACCTCATTCAAAGGTTACCATCTATAGAAACAGTGTTATCATAATGGTACGTTCTGGGATATCTTCAGTGAACCAAATAGTAGCATGAGAATTCACAAAGTTTCAATTTGTTCTGCATGTCACCTTTGGGGAGAGCTAAAATCAAGTGGAAAAGTGCTTGATTATAGAAAAACCTGCTTTACATTTGTTTTCGTAAAGCCATCATCATTAATTTTGTTATTGTAATATTGTTTTGTAAAAAAGCAAGTAATCACTCTGCAATCAGGACAACATGAAAAATAATATTCATTTTTGAAGCTATAAGAGCAAGATTTGAGTCTATCAGATGTAATGGTGGGCTTTTTTGTTTTAATAATGTGTGTGTGATTTACTTGTGAAACATACTGCTCTGGAGACTGACATTGAGCATATATAGGACAGGTACAGAACAGACAGCAGAAATTAAACTTTTCCAAATTGTCCTACCAAATTTTAATGCTAACCTCACCTTTGTGAGGCGGAGATGATTCAATCTTAACACAACCACTATGTTAAGATTGCCAAAAGTTCCAATAAGTGCTATTTTATTTGTGACTTTTCTGATGTACAAATTTGTATACTGGGATCTGATCTGAGACCATGAATGTATTTCAATCAGGCCATTAAATACAGAACTGTGTGAAAAGCTGATTTTTGGTTTGCTGGAAGTTCCAATAATTATGAAAAAAAAAATGGTTTTAAATTCATCCAAAATCATTAAAAAAAATTTTTTTTTCAGTGAACCAAAAGTCTAAAAAGAATTTTTTGGGGGGTTGAATGCAATGTTTTGTTCAACCCCAAACTAATTGTTTTGTTTCTGAGCGTTTAAAAATGTTTTTTTTATTTTAATTTTTTAACACAAATACATTTCAAAAAGTTATTTTGAATAAAAAAATCAAAATGTTTAGTTTACAGAAAATGCCAAAATGATTTTTTTTTAAGTTTTGTCCTGACTAAAACAATTTGGCAAAGTAGACAACTTTGAAATGTTTCCCTAAACCCAAATCTGCATTTTTGATCAAAAAAAGTTTTGGCCAAAAAAGTCACCCTGTTCTAATTAAAAAGCCTTCTGATAATAATGATGTTGGCCGATGTTGACCTTGGTTGGATTTTAATCAGCGATCTTGTTTAAATTTTTTCTACTATGGTGTACTGATAAATCTTGGAAACTTTAAAGTAAAGGTAAAAACACATCTGTACTTATTTCTTGATGAATAATAGTGTTTGTTGGTATTGCTTTTAAATAAAATTCCAATTGTTTTGTTTCTTCATTTTAATTGTTAAAAACTTACATTCATACAACTTTTTCATTCTAGGGGACCCCAAATTACTTTACATGCTATTACATATACACACAGAGTATGAAATGGAAGGTAGCAACTTCTAAACAAAGAGAGACAAGTTGACATTTTTAGGCAGGAAGTGTCTACCTTATCCCATTAAATCGAAAGAGAATTTCAGGTAGGCTATAAGCTTCCACTTTTTCTCTTCTGGAACTGAGTTATATCAGTTTGGATGGTACAATATCATGCCCTGCAAATCAACCTTGTGGAATAACTACAGATCCTGAAATAACATTGGACATCTGTGGAAAGTTACATCATGGTATCAAAATCACATTTCCAAATGCCTTTATATAATGATGTGTTCTGATGCACATTTATTCTGCTGGACAAATTTCTATACATGACAATCCAAGCAGGCAGACTGTAATTACTCAAACTGAAATTTGGCTAAGACACCAGGATTATTCCCTCTACACCTGTGAAGTGTGTCACATGATATGAGACTTGCATGACAAGTAGTTTGGACCTCTATTTTACATTTCATCCCAAAGATGGCAACCAATAATATGATTGGGCATTGTACAATACGCACTTTGCCACCCTTAATCATGCTGAGTGGTACATAGATTTCAATACAACTATTCTTGAAGTACTATTCCTCATAACTGCCAGATTGTGACACCCTCACTGATTTCAGTGGGATTCCTGCAGATGTCTCTATATACATTTTATGGGCCTCAGGCTGCTCTTCTATTGAAGTCAGTGGCAAATTTTCCATTGACTTCAATGGGTGCAACATCATGACTATGTCTCTGTCTTTCTCTAAATTTTATAAATACACATGTACTCTCACACTATATACATTACAAACACACGGAAGATAAGTAAGGAAACATTTGTGTGTATTCCACTTTGGACCTGTCAAACTTTACAAATCCTTTAATAGCTTAGCTATTCTAAAACATATTGAAAGACCAATCTTAAGCCAAGTATTTTCAAAATTTAAGGAATAAAGACCAGGCTTGAGTTATCAGCATATAAAAATGTTTCTGGCTCTAGTAAGCAACTTTTGTTTTCATACTCAATGTAATTACACTCCTAGTTTTAACTTGTAAATTGGTATGTTTTCTGGGAGGAGAATATGGGAGAAGTGAAATGTTAATTATTCTGGTGATTCAATAGTATATTTAAGAGTTGAAGTGAAGAACTAACTTCCCCTAAACAACAGTGAATTTAGTCTTGATACCCCCCAAAAGGAAAAGCAGCACTGTTTTCAGCAACAAATAGGGGCCAGATCACTCCCTGCACTGGGAAATTCCAGCAGGGACCACCTAGCCTGAGACTACCTTTGAAAATATACATAGAAAGGATGCATGTGTTG